AAGTGGCTGCTACTACGATGTACTTTCAAAGTCTGAATGTTGGTTAATTTTGGATAAAAGCTAAAACAAAAAATGAGATTCACTTATTTTCTGCGTGATTCGATGAGCAGATATTCTCTGCAACACATCTACATTTACAGGTACAAAAATCAACTGAGAACTAGCTTCTCTAACTTTGATTCTTTTAGAAGCAATTCAAAGAATTTCTTCTCTATGAATAGTTCCATTAAGAAGGGACGTTTTTAAACGGATAAGACTACATAAGATACTGGGATATTCCGGGGTTTCGTAAACTCAGCCTTTAGTGTATTTCCTTCATTTAAGTACATTGTCAAATATTAGTAAGCAGTCTGATGATGTTTAGGCAAACACAACAAGCGGACCTATGAAAAATTGTAGTATGTCACTGACAGCACATACAACATACAACATGCATCCCTCGGTTTGAATCCTAAATGTAACTTTCAACTCTAGCGAATGTTCCAAATCAAACCTCAGACATCATTTAATTCAATTTTAGATGTTCCCGTCGATTGATTTGACCGAAGTGTGGAATGCGGGTACATCCAGTTGACGAGTCCCGAATAGGACAAAATGCGCATCCTGGATTCCACTGCTAGTCACCATCCACCAGTTAACTTCTAATTACACTCCCAGACATCGTCGAAGCATCTGCACAAAAAGCCAACATGTCAACCTGAGACTGAGCACTTCGGTGCAGTCAATCGACGGGAGCATCTAAAATTGAATAAAATAATCAATATGACCCGTCGCACAAGAAGTGGCTTTCTTGTGGCGCAACTGGTCTAGTGGATAACGCTTTCACGTTTGAAATCATGGGCACTGAGTTCAAGCCTCCGTGGGAAAACCATCACTCACTGGGGAATGCAGGTACATCGAGCTGACGAGTCCCGAATAGTATGAGACGTGCATCCTGGATTACACTACTAGTCACCATCTACCAATTAACATAGACAACGCTGATTACTGGCAGGTAGCCTAAACCCTCATACTGTTCCATGTTACTATCTTTTGTCCCTTGAAAGCGAGGGTCAGACGAAAACCTGGGATCAATCCATGTAATCGTTTACAGCTGAGGGGGGTGTAGAGCAGACTGCTTACTTAAGGTCCTCGGCATGCGAAGAACCAATGGCTGAGCTGAAAATAGTTCTCAGAAGCGCAGATACATTCACTCTTTGTGATGGCTCATATCCACTAAACTCTCATGCTTTTCTATCTCACTTTTCTTTCTCTCTCACATTTCAGCAGAATATAGTCCTTTAGAATCTGCTTTTGTTTTCTCTGTTTTGTTTACGTTAGTATACAAAATGGAATGTGGCAACTTAAACTGCTCTACTTCCGTGCTAATTTCCATGTTGAAACTCAGTCATTAATTGATTCAAGGATAAAACTTGAGCACTCAAGTAGAATGCAACTCAATTATGGATAAAATTTTATTTTGATAAAATCACACACAGTGTTTGTTACAAACAGTAATATTTACAGATGCGACCGCGTTTAGAGCACAATTAATTACCACTCATAATCATATCAACTCAGTGCTCACACAACTTTCTTTCTTCATTCATATACATGAGTAAAAATTGATGATTAGACATTTGAATAAATAAAATCAGTAATATAAGATAAAGTACATTGGGAAATAATATTAGTGATATCAGTAAAATGCATTTGGGAGGGGAAATAAGATGTTTTTATAGTCAATATAAGTGACTTGTTAGAGTGTTATAATGTGAATTGAAAAATACATTTTAAGATTCTTTATTATCCTCTTCTGATTTGACTGGTGGTAATAATATCTTCTGTATCTCTGGTGTTTGCATTGAGTCACTTGTATGACAGGTGACGGATGTGTAGACTGTGCGATGAACAAGAAGTGAGTAAGTAATTGATCTCTGTCTCTCTCTAAGTCCATTTACATAGGTTACATATAAACTCACTGATAGTGGGAATAAAATTCACATTTGAAGCTGAAAATGAACAAGGAGAATTAGCTATGTTAGATTGTAAAATCAAACGAATAGAAGAAGGCAAACTACACACGAGTGTTTATAGAAAACCAACACATTCTAATAGATATTTCGACTTTAATTCATCTCATCCTTTAACTGTTAAGGCAGGCTTAGTTAAGTGTTTAACAAACCGAGCAATGGCACTAAGTAGCACAAAAAAGACCTAAATGATGAAATAAAACAGATAGAAGAGGCGTTGGTTTTAAATAACTATCCTCTAAAATTCATTAGGAAGATCAGTAAAGGTGAAAAACAAAACAAAAATAATTGTGGAACTAGTAATGATAACATAAATAAGAGAGAATATGTCTTCTACTGTTGTACCATATAAGGAGGGGACATCTGAGGCCCTACGTAGGATTCTCAATAAAGCGGGAATTAGGGTGGCATTCAAACCTACAAACTCACTCAGGGACAAGCTCTGTAGGTTAAAGGACCCTATTGGTTGACCCAATTAGACAAAATAATATAATTTACAAAATACCCTGCAATGACTGTGAAGTCAACTACATAGGTTAAACTAGTAGGTCAGGGGTAGTCAGATTGTCAGAACATAAGAATTTAGCTAAAGTTAGAATGGTTGACCTCGAGTAGATAAGTAATTTAGAAAAAAGCTCAGCTATTGCACTTCACGCATTAACGAACAACCACACAATAGGGTGGGATAGGGTTAAAATCCTAAAGAGCAGTATAGGTAGGTGGAGAGAGAGGTTGATTACGGAATCCTTGTTCATTGAGTCCACAACCAACACATGCAACAGAAATGACTCAATGCACATACCAGAAATATGGAAGATATTATTACCGCCGGTCAAATCAGAAGAAAATAATAAATAATCATAAAATTCTATTTCAATTCAAACACATCACAACATTCTGAGAAGAAACTTATTATGACTATAGAAACTCGTTTTATTTCCCATCTAATTGTAATTGATCAATAACAGTCGTATTAGTATTTCTGAATGTGCATTATCTCATACTGAATTTTATTCCAAATATTTAGTCAATTCCACACGTATATAAATGAAGGAAAAAAGTTGTGTGAGTAACTTGATATGACTATGAGCAATAGTTTATGCTCTAAACGTCATCAGTTAGTATTACTGTTCAACACTGTGTGATTATCAGAATAAAAGCTTATCCATAATGGAGTTATGCTCTACTACAGTGCCCAAGTTTCATATTTATATCAATATTACTTTCCAGGATTTTGACTCTGTCCCACCAACTCTGTTGTGTGGTTGTGTGTTAATGCATGCAGTATGATTGCTGAGCACTTTTTTCTAAATTACTTATCTTCGTGGGTGGTGTCAGTCATTCTAACCTCAGCTAAATTCTTCTGTCCCGACACTCTGATTTCCCTTGACCTACGAATTTGACTGACCTATGTGTTTGTCCTCACTCACGGTCACTGCAAGGTATTTTGTAAATTATATTATTTTGTTTAATTGCGTCCACCGGTAGGATTGTTTAGCCTACAGAGCTTGTCACTGAGTAAGTTTGTAGGTTTGAATGCCACCCCAATTCCTGCTTTATTGAGAATCCTACGTCCGGAGGGTCTCAGATGTGTGATTTTATCAAAACAAAATTTTATCCATAATGGAATTAAAATTCAGTCAATCCGTGACCGTAAAATTCACACTTTCTTAAAGAGTAAACATAAGAGAAATTCATTGTTCTGTTGTTGATTTCTAATCCACGTATAGTACAGAAAAACAAAATCACTAAACAATAGAAATGATCAATCTTATCAACCAATGTTTTTATTACGATACATTATTAAGTTCGAGTACATGTGCACAGCTTTATAATATTTGCTGCTTGGATAGGCAGTATAATAAGAGAACAAACATACAAGCAATTGACACTTTTATACAGGCGTAGAACCAACCAAGAAATAATTCCATTATTGAGAAAATTTATTTTTAGAGTTTGACGACAGATTGATATCAGTTAGAGTAACATTGAAAACCAGGGATTACTGGACAGCTGTTCCACCCTAGTGGGGACTATCCAGTGTGGAGTGAGAATGGAGTTGGTTGGTGGTCGTGCTAAATCATCACGAATCGGTAGAAGTTAGAATTCATAGGTCGGCCATTGAATCGGGTCTCATTGGCTGAATCCGTATACGAGCTAGCTTGCCTGGTAACAGGAAGGTCCTGGATTCGAACCCGTGTGTGGTGAATGCGTACAGCCGATGATTCCCAAGAACTAGGATGAAAAAACTGTCCAGTACTCGGTGGTTTCCAACAGTTCTCTTTATTTTATTCCTTTACATTCCCATTGGAACATAGGGCTTCAAGTTTCTGTAGCGGTGACGATTATTTTTACAGGATGGGGTTGCTAGCCTTATGCCTAGCCTTCCCTCTTTACCAGTCTTATTACTGGCTATGCGAGGTAAAGGAGTTCATCGGCAGGCGGGGATCGAACCCCGGACCATGTGAGGCGTGGTCGGCGAGCACTCTACCGCTGTACCACCGACGCAAACAGTTCTCTAACTGATATCAATCTGTGGTCGAACTCTAAAAACAAATCTAATCCTTACAAACGAACTCTCATATTAGAGAGTTTGACTACTGAATCTTTGTTCATCGAATCTACTACACCCAACACATGGAATAGGAATGACTCATCGCTCATACCAGAGATATGAAAAATACTACTACCAATCAAATCAAGCGATTAAAAATAATGGGATTATATAAACAAAGTTAGAAAGTTAAGTGAGTACCTTGATGTAATTATGAGCAATAAATTGTGCTCGAAACGTGGTCATCAGTAAATATTACTGCATAACACCGCTGTGAAACTTTATCGAAATAAATTTTGTCCAAATTCAATTATACTCTACCACAGTGCCCAAGTTCTATTCTATTATATCAACTTAGATATATTTTTGTATAAAGTAAACTTTTAAAAAAAATACTGTCTAACACACCTGCCAAACTTTATCTTCCTTCCTAGACACAGAACCTATGGTTCCAAGATGACAATCTGGCTTGAGAATTCCAGTCAAACTGCACTGCCGATGAATACAGAGGAGAATTAATTATCAAGTTATTATTAATCGAATTATTCAGATGTCTGATTAAATTTCAATATATATATAATATGAGAAATAATAGTGTGTGAATGATTTCTTTTTTTCTTATTTGTAACTTCCCTTAAAATTAATTTTAACCGCCTATAAATTAGGCTAATAATTTGCTAATATAAAAACACTATTTAATAATCAAAAGTGGCTAATATGAATGTTATTGTTGTAGTTGCTGTGTTGTTTAAAAAAATGAATTATCTCCAATAGAGGTAATTACTCAGAACAAAATATTTAGAGTGAACAATTGTGGTTTCAATAAATTCTTCTTCAGGCTCTACATTTATAAATCCATTAATTTAAGCATACAATAGCCAGCCAGTAAAGGCAAATTAGAATCCTATCAGAAAGTGTATTGTGGAACAAGTATAAGATGGGATGGAACAATAGTCAGATAGGTTTTTAATATGCATGGTCAATGAGAACATGGGACAAAATCAGATGAAGTAATTTAATTTAATGATATGTGTATATATATAAATATAGTCAACAGAAATACAGGTTTCGATAGTGTGTGTAATCAGGGTGTGTGAGACAATATGAAAATAAACCAACGAATGGGGCGGACTAGACATAAGTTCAAGGTTGAAAATAACGACAATAAGAATGATTGTAAAATAATAACGATGATATGGTGTAAAATTACATGCACTATTGGTGAATGATTGTCAAATAATAATAATGAATATAATGAAGTGGAATAAACAGGATTTTGTAAATACGATAGCAAGTTAGAAAAGCACTACTTAAACCTAATGTAATAAAGTCATAAGAAAGGTCATGAAATCATAAAAGTCGAAAATGAACGTTTGTCAATGAAACAGAGGAATAGAAGAGGGAAAAAAGAAAATTGTGAAATGAATTTATAGTGTTAATGGAGGATTTGTTGGCTTTATGGTAGGCCAAGGTGAACATAGAGGTTGAACATACTTCTTTTGTATGCAAAGAGATGGTCTTCTGGTATTAATTGCCACCGCTTCAGCTACTGATAGAAGACATACTCGAGCTCCTCTAAATAAATTACTAGGAACGCGGTAAATAACTGAGAACGCCTGGTCAAGTTTTTTCGGGTGTCCAGTATCTACCAAGTGGGCTAAGACTGCACTATTTACACACTTGGTTACTCCTTTACTCAACCATACAGGTACATGTTCACGTGCGCGCATGGATAAAGCCCTCTGAGTACGGCCAATGTAACTAGCTCCACATGAGCAGTTGAATTCATAGATGCACATTGATGGGGCCATCTTCCGTAATTTATCCTTGACTTGATGTGTAAGTACTGGTTTAGTTTAGAAGTTGATTACCAGTTTAGCTGCGGGAAATGTTCCATCTACTGCTCTATTAAGTCGACATTTTAGAATGTCAGCTGCAATTTCCCCTTTGTAACTTAACTTAAGATACAAAGGTTTCTTTTCTACGGTATCCACCTTTACCTTGTCTACAGATATTGACATATACTTTTTTAGGAAGCTCTGTGGATATCCATTTTCTTGTAGTGTGAGTTTCAGTTTATGCATTTCTTCCTTAATGCATTCTTCTGAACATATACGTTTTATTCTATAGCTTAGACACTTAACTAAGTTTCTTTTGTACTGAATAGGTGCGAAGCTATGGAAATGGGTGTACTGACCCGTCCAAGTTTTCTTTCTAAATAGTTTCCTTTGTAGATACCCGTCTGTCTTCATGGTAAGGAGGACGTCTAGGAAAGGTAAACTGTTATTGTCTTCTTCTTCACATGTAAACTGAATAGTTGGGTGAACACTATTAACAGCATTCAGAAGCTCTTGTTTATCAAGATTTATATCCCAAACGATAAAGGTATCATCTAAGTATCGACAATAATAGTCAAACCCATTAATCGTGTCTTTAAGTGGACCATTTTCAAGCTTTGCCAGGAAAATATCCGCTAGCATAGGGCCCAGAGGTGATCCCATGGCTACTCCATCAACTTGTCTATAAAAACCATTATTGAACGTAAACTGGCCATTCATAGTGCGCTTCAATAATAATTCTTTGACTTTTTCGGGTGGGATTCCTGCATCTATCTTTCTTTCTATCAGCTGGTCACATATGTAGTTAACTGTTCCAAGCAGTGGGACGTTGGTGAATAATGATGCTACATCCAGTGACATCATTTTCTTTCCCTTTACATTCAGGCTTTTGGTAGTTTCCACAAAGCTAAATACGTCTTTTACACTGAATTTCACTAATTTGCGATGTGACGGTTCTAGTGCCTTCACCGACCACTTTGCTGCAGAATGATAAGGAGATTGACACATATCTAAGATGGGACGTAATGGAACTCCCGGCTTGTGGACTTTCGGTAAAACATAAAGTCTTGGTGTGTGCGTACCTGAGGGTTTCAATTCGTCGAGTGTATCCTTAGGAATCAGATTACTCTCAACTAATGATTTTAGTGTCTTAGCCATTTGGCGTTCGGTTGCCTCAGGTGTGTCTTTACAGCTGCTCAGCTTTTGAAATTTCGTATGGTCGCTTAGAATGATATTCATTTTGTCTAAATAATCACTCTTATTCATGATAACTGTACCAGATCCCTTGTCAGGTCTAGTTATTATCAGATTTTCGTCCTTTTTGAGGTCATGTAATGCCTCTCGGTGTTTCTTTGTAAGTAGACTATTGGCAGGATGTTTGCTATTCTTAAACTGGTAGCAGGAATCGATTAAGGTACTTTTAAATCTTTCTAGCTCATGCTTGGACGAAGGAGTTAGGTCGCTTGTTTGGGCAAATAGGTTTTCAAATTGAACATCAGTCTCTAGATGATCAACCTGATTACGTCTGTCACAGAATTTTAAACCGAGAGATAAGGCTTCAAGTTGTGTCTTATCAAGGCATACAGAGGAAAAATTGAAAACGTACCGGTTATAGTCAATTGGGAAATTAGTTTCAGTCGTTTCTGTATCTAGTCCTTTGGTTAATAATATCAATTTCTTGCCTTCTCGAGTTTTTAAAACTTCATTAACGTAGTCAATAAATAAATACTTCAGGTTCTGAGGAAGTTCATCGACGGCGTAAAGTCTTTGTGAAATATTTCTCTCTAGTTCATATACATAAACTTGAAGGGATTCGATTTGATTAATGGCGAATCGCTTTAATGACTTTTCGTTCGGTCGTGTTTTGCTTCGACGAAGGGATTTTGAATATAATTTAGGATACCGGTTGTTCACAATACAATTTCGAATAAACTCCACGTTCGTTTTCGCTTCTGTGAGCCTAGCACTATACTTCATGTACTCATTGAGTGCCTTTAGAGCTACGAGATGCTCACTAGATTTCAGTTAATTGAATATTCCCATAATTTATTCAGAACAAAGTATTTAGAGCGAACAATTGTTTTCAATAAATTCTTCTCCAGGCTCTATAATTATAAATCCATTAATCTAAGCATACATAATTACACTATAAAATTGAGAATTCTCAGGCAAAAAGCAAATTAGACAGTGTTCATTAGAAAGCAGAACTTGATACATGACAAGCAAACAAATCAAATCCTTACAAATCAGCTCTTCGAGTTTGACCACAGATTGATATTAGTTAGAGAAATATTGGCAACCAGGGAGTACTGGACAGTTGTTTCATCCTAGTTTTTTTGGGGGGGGGAGAATCATCGGCAGTACGCACCAACTGGGGTTGGAACGCAGGGCCTTCCGGTTACTCGAAAGACAAATCTAATGCTTACAAACCAAACTCTTGAAAATTAATCTGATGCCCGCTAGTGACTTACTACAGGGCGGAGTTTCCTGGAGTTCTGGTGTGCAATCGTGACCAATGAGTTGCACCCGTCGGAAGTGAGGATGGAGTTCCCGCCGATGACATTGGTTGGTGGTTGTGCTAAAATCACGAATCGGTAGAAGTTAGAATTCATGGGTTGACCATTGAATCGGGTCTCAGTGGCTGCTTAATAATTTACGAGCTAGTTTGCCTTATAACCGGAAGGTCCTGCTTTCAAATCCGTGTGCGGTGGGGGCGTACTGCCTGTCTTTAAACTGTAAGTTTTAGAAACAGTAACTACTATTTCTTCAGGTACTAAATGTAGCCATCTTACAGTGAGATAGATGGAATCTCCTATCAACTTTGTAAAATAAGTAAAAAATAAGAAGATAATTAAATATCTTGGTACACTTTTACGTGCATAACTTTGGACCACTCATGTTTTTAACCTTAATAATAATAATAATAAAGCTTTATCTGAGATAGTATGGGAACACATAGTACAGAAATTCTCAGAGTATTTAGTTCCAAAATATTTTGTCGTCATACAGAATTTACGCATAAAACAATGATCCAAAGTATCTCATATGATGTGGCTTTGTTGTATATATGAAGAGAGAACCAATTTTTGCATATTTTGTTCTTCATATCCTTCAAGAATAGCATAGTATTTTTCTGGGAGCTAACTAAATTTGTGCGGAAGTTCATCTAGTGATCTAGATATGATGGAGAAGATTTGTAGCTCAGGTGGATGATTTTGATGTGGTTGTGTGTTCTTTGAGCTGGATAGTTAATTTGCGAGACTTTCATCGCCCCCTACTATGTAACATCTTCAGCGCATACTTCACTTTGAAGTGAGCTTTTAGATTTCTCCAGGAGTCCTGTTGATATAGTATAGTGATGGGAAATACAAAATTAACAGTTATAACACAGCTTAAATGATTTTCACACTTATGAAAAAATAAACAAATAAAAACAAAACATTGAGAGGATTATAAATATAATCAATACAAAAACAATAAAGTTTGATGCTTTAAGGGTGAAGGAAATGGTTTATTTAGTGGTGCTAAGAAGGTTAGTTAGTTCATGCCTGACACCATTTTCATCACATAAAGTACGTGCTAAATATGGTATAGTGGAATTTTTTATACATGGACGTACGTGCATAAATTCTTCTGAACAGACTTCTTGTTTTACCTGAGGAGACACAAGGTAGGAGCTGCGGGTAGAGTGGGTGATCAGAGTCTGACAAAATTCCCTTAGTGAATTTGTTGCATGACATCAAGTGCCTACCAGTGACAATGTCAATGATATGGCCCAATGGGATACCACTCGTCCTACTGACAGCCTTCAGAGTTCTACGAAGTATGACATAGGCTTTTTTAGGCGATCCAGGAAAGAATGAGGGTGAACAGTA